CGCGTCTCCAGCCGGTGCTGCTGGGATTTTGGGGCCCGCGGGGGCCACTGACTCCACAACCCCATCGGTCAGCAGCGCGGACGGGCAACGGCGGAGCCCAGGGGCGGCCGCGGCGACGGCGGAGCCCAGGGGCGGGGGGAGAACGAGGATGAGAAAGTCATGGGGTGAGGGGGTAGGGTCAGGTCGGGTCTGTCCCCCTACAGGGGGATTAAAAAATCCCCCTCTAGAGGGACAGGCCCGACTTAAGGGTAAGGTGAAAGTTGGGGTGGCGCCAAGCTTCGCGGTAGCCCTCTTCCGGGGTTTGGCGGCTCTTCCCAGCAACCTCCCGCGGAACCCAAACAGCAGCTCGCACTGAGAGGGGAATGCTGCGGGCGGCCCAGTGGTGCTTGCTGTCTGGTCTTTCCGGGTTTCGACACCTACCCCTGCTGGACCAAGAACGCACAGGGAGCTGGCAGCAGTGGCGGCGAGGTCTCAGGCAAGAGGGAGGAGACGATGATATGAGGTAGGCTGCTGTGGCGAAGCTGGTGCGCGGCAGGCGACGGAGATTGCGGCATCGGTCCACGCGCGAGGGCCTCAGGGAGGCATTGCCGCCTCGCTTCTGATCAGCGCGGTGGTGGCACGGACGGGGCCCTTCTGGATGTGCAGGTGGCACCTCCTGTTCTTCTTGCCGCTGCCTGGTAGCCGGGGGGTCGTGCACAACTCCCAGTCGGAGCCAGGCATGTTTATCCACGTGGCATTGGCGAAATTGTCGTCAGTGAACACGTGCTCCCCTGCGGCAAGCTTCAAGTGGCCCTGCGCGAGCCCGGCTTGGACCTCGCTCTTGTGGAGTGGGCCGTGGCACTCGGCGTCCAGGAGAACGCAGCCCCTCCTGGCCGGAAGGGTCCTCCTGATCCTCCTCGTCCTCCTCGCGCGCGGTCTCCCATGTGCATCTGGCGCCTCTCTCGGCCCTCGTTCGAGCTCGGGGCTGGAGCTGGGAGGCGTGGCGGTCGGCGCAGGGGTCGGCGCCTGCGACGGGCGGCGCGGCAGGTGGCGAAGCGAGGGCTCCCAACCTCGCGCTTCGCGCTGCGCGGAGCGCGAAGTGCGAACAACTTCGCGCTCTCGGGCCGCCTCCCAACGGGAGGAGGAGGAGGAGGAGGAGGAGGAGGAGGAGGAGGAGGAGGAGGAGGAGGAGGAGGAGGAGGAGGAGGAGGAGGAGGAGAAGTCGGAGCCGAAGCGCGAAGCGCGAGGCGCGAATACCTTCGCGCCCTCGGGGGCGCCCGTGCGAAGGCGCCGTCGCGGGCAGCAGCGCAGGAGCTGCCGCCAGCGGTCTGGCCGAGGCCGCGGGGCGGCGAGGCCGCCGTTGGCAGCCAGTCGCCGGTGCGGCAGCTGCCCGCGGCGTGGAGATGGCCGCCGCCCTCGGTGTACAGTCGGGGCGTTGACCTAAGGAACCCTACGGCAGGTTCGTGTCGTGTCGACCCCGGCGCTGGTTTTTGACACCGCAGGGATCGTTCAACCTTGAACGATCGGCCGCTGCCGCAACGTCCGATCGTTCAACATCGATCGATTCTGGGTCGCCGGCGGCGTTCAACCTTGAGCGCCCGCGCTGGGGTCGCCGCTGGTCGACACGACGCAAACCTACCGTAAATAAGGAACGAGGCCCCGATGTTCCATAGGTTAACCTTCGATTTCCTGTCGAAAACCTAAAAGGGAAGCCTGAGGCAAGCTGTGAAACACTGAAGGAACGCGGAGCCCCTCCCCAACGAAAGGGGCTCCTTCCTCAGGGCCCCGGCTGTAGCCTCAGGTCGGGCATGTCCTCCTACGGGCGGACTTGGGAAGAACAGCAAAAATTGCCAAAAGAGGTCCAAGAAGAGGAGGAAAGGGTCGAAAGCTCATCCCCAGACTGTCTGCTTCTTGACTACTCTGGAGCAGTCCTCCGGTGGAGGGAAGCGCCCGACGTGAGTGTGGCCAGACGGCCTCCTCGTCGCAGCCGTTGGGCCTGCAGGGCGCCGAGGCGAGTCCCGCCGCGGCGGCGCGGGGGAAGGAGGCCCTCGGCAGCGCATCCCGGAGGGCTGGGCGGAGAGGGCCGGCGAGGGGAGCCCGTCGCAGAGGGCTGTCCACACGGCCTCGTTTCCTTTCTTGTTTCCCGACGAGTACGCAGCCCATGCTGCCACAAACCAACCCCCACAGACCAGCCCCCTACTGCCACAAGCCAACCCCAGACTCCCTCCTCCGCCCGCCTTCCCCCCGTCCTCCACTGCAAGCCCGCGCAGCCAGCGGGGGCGGCCAGGCACTGTTCGCGCGCTCGCCAGAGGCGACCGCGACGGCGAGTTCTGCCGCGCGGCGCAGACCCTGCTCGGGCCGATGCGGTCGAGCCTACGGGCGAGGCACCTCCGCCAGGGCCCCATTGAACTCTGGGTGGCCCGAAAGGGGGTCCAGCTGAAAGGGGGCGGGTATTGCAAGTGTACTGCGCTGGAGAGTTGTGTTGCATTGTGTTGCCAGTAGTGCACTGCACGCGAAAATCCAGTACATTTGCGCCCCGGAATGCGTTGCACGCCCCACATGTAATGCGACCCCACAAATCTATTGCACCAAATCTACTGCACCACCCCTGTCGCTGGACCCCCTCTCGGGTCAACCTGCTGAACGCGACCGGGGGGCGAAGAGCTCCCCAGACTGTCGGCGACAGCCGAACGTCATTACGCACACTATGGTGCCAGTCCACACACTAGCGTTGTGATAGATCCTGCTGTATGCGGCATCGCTAACAGTATCTCTGCAGCGACGGATGCAAGAGCTCGCAACAGCCCCGCAGTAGCCCAATACTTCCTCGCGTCTGCTGGGCCAGGGCCCGGGTCAACTCCGGGCTGGAGTGCCCTGCGGGGCAGGGGGTGCCTCGAGCCCCAGCTCCCCGCCTCCTGCCAAAGGAGGGGGCGCAGCCGCGGGGGGAGGTGCGCCGGCGCGGGCGTCGCGTCCTCATGCCTCCTCCTCCTCCTCCTGCGGCGTGGCCGCTCGCGTAGCCGCCAGTGCAGCTGTCCGCGGAACCACGGCCGTTGGCGGTGTGGTCACCCGTGTCACCGCGGGCGCAGTGCGCGGGAGCGCTTGGAGCGGCTGTGGTGGCTGGGAGGCGGCGTCGCCGTACACGCCGAAGCTGGTGTCGCGAGAGTTGAAGCTGCAGTGGCCGTCGGCGGACTCATAGGTGTCGATGGTTGGGAGCTGGCCAGAGCAGCCCTGAGCGGGCACAGGGACTTCAATGACGATGTACTTGGTGGTGGTGGGCTCGTCCTCCTGGTCCTTGTGGTAGTAGCCGATGTTTTCCCAGTGGGTCGCGTTGGCGCTGTTGTAGCCGTTGTTGTGGTCACCGGAGTCCTGGAACTTGTTCCTGTGGCCGCCGTCTTTCCCGTAGTTGGAGTTGGTCCTGTCGGAATTGATGGTGTCCCTACCAGGGTTGGTGGCGTGCGTGGCGATCTGTCGCGGCGTCTCGAACGCGCACTCGGTCGCCACGACGGTCCCGTCCACAAGAAACCTTCCACGAGAAACCCAACCCTGAGACCCTAGGACGTCCGCAGGTTGCTTTGGTGCGAGATCGTCACGCCTTCCACGGCAAAGCCATCGAAGCCCAAGAAGCCCGGGGCACCCTGGAGGCAAGCAGGGGGCTTCTTGGCACGGGCGCCGACGGTGTGCAAGTCTGCGCACGGCGGCGCGCGCGGGCACAACCATCGGTCGGAAGAAGTAGGCAGAAGCATGAAACAGGAATGCGTCGAAAGTAGATCGGGTTCCGTCCGCCCCCTGAGGAGGACGGGAAAGGTGAAGCCACTCGATCGTTGAAGCAGGAAGGCGCTCAGGGTGGAGTGTAGAGTCTGGGGGTCCAGAAATACCTGCCTCCAACGGCCGATGGGTAGGCCCGAAGGGGCCCGATTGGGCCTCGTGGAGGTCGGTGCTGTCGTGGCACGTCGGAGCACATTTTGGCATGGGCACCGCGGGCGCCTCGGCCAGGTCTCTCGCGCCTCGGGGCGGGCGTGGCGCGGCAGGGGCGCCTCGCCGAAGCGCCGCCAGCCCGCGGGCGCCGCGGGGGCCCCAGGCCGGCGGGCGAATCCGGGGCATGGATCCTGGATATGGCGCATTCTTCCTTACCCTCCTCTTTTTCGTCATCTTCTTCTGTGTCTTATTATTATATGATTGTCAGTAGTATTCGTATGCCTGTTCGTGTGTATATTATTACTGTTATACGTACTATTAGTATTGTCATTCGTGGTATGACTCTTATTGCTGGTAATATTATCATCACTCGTATTATTATCAGTGTTCGTCGAATTACTCGTATTCTTATCTTGATAGTTAATTGCAGTAACATATGCATTCGTAGTATCAACATTCTTCTTATTACTAACAGTATTCGTATAATTATTCGCACGCTTATTATTACAAGTACTATTATCATTGATATTAGTAGTCGTAGAGTTATTACTCGTATTATTCATTAGTGTCATCATCACCCGCATCATCATTGTCATTATCGTCATCATCATCATCATCATCATCATCATCATCATCATCATCGTCATCATCATCATCATCATCATCATCATCATCATCATCATCATCATCATCATCGTCATCATCATCATCAGCAGCAGCAGCATCATCAGCATCATCATCAGGAGCATCGTCTTTCCTCCTCTTCATCTTTCTCCTCCTACTCCTCCTACTCCTCCTGATCCTGATTCCTCCTGGTGTGAGAATCTGCCGGATGCTGCCACGTATCCTCCTCCTCCTCGCTCCTCCTATCCTCCCTCCTCCTCCTCCTCCCCCTCCTCCCCCTCCTCCTCCTTCTCCTCCTCCTCCTCCTCATCCTTTTTCCTCCTCCTCCTCCTTCCTTCCCACCTCCTCTCCTGCCTTCCTCCTCCTCCTCCTCCTCCTCCTCCCCCTCCTCCTCCTCCCCCCAGCCGTCCCCCCCTCCCCCCCATCCCCAATGCCTGCCTCCCCCATTCCTATCTCGTCGACGTCCTCGCGGCCCCCCGCGCCTCCACGCCACCGTGTTGTCGTGGACGGCGTCCTCGACATGGGCGACCACCGTCACCCAGTCGGCCGTGCCCGGGGCCATGGGCTCGGAGGCCGCGTCGCGCCAGCCTGCGGCGGACGGCGACGACTTCCCAGAGGTGCCTCGCGCCGTGGGCAGGAGCACGACGGACAACGTGTGGCCGTTTGCGGCCTCTGTCGGGCGAGTGGTAATGTCGACTACACGCAAGAGTGACCCTGGGTAAGAGTGACCTTTGGTGCGCGGCTCTTTGGGGGCCGCGGGGAGACCAGAAACGAGCGCGCGAGACGCAACTGCCGCATCGCGTTCGGCGATCGGGGGGGCCCATTGGGCCCGCACCGAAGGTCCCTCCGGCGAAAGGTCACTCTTACGTGCAGTCGATAATGGGGGGTGGCCCAAATCGGGGTTGAAGAGAGAAAGGCCGAGGCCGAGGTGCTCGTGTCGTGGGAAGGAACACGACGGACAACGTTTGGCCGGCTGCAGCCTCTGTCGGGCGGGTGGTAATGTAATGGGGGGTGGCCCAAAAATCGGGGTTGGAGAGAGAAAGGCCAGGGCCCTTCAGGGCCTTTTTTTGTTTTTCCTTTGGGCTTCGCCCGGGATCCTCCGCAGGCGCCCTCGGGACGCAGGGGCCGTTGGGGGCCCCTTGGAGAGGCCCCTGCGGGCTCCCCAAGGGGGGCCCAAAAAGGACACCTTTTGTGGCTCTTCTCTTCACCCCCCTAATACAGTTGGGGCGCTGACCTAAGGAACCCTAAACAAGGAACGAGGACCCTTTTTTCATAAAATGAACTTCGACTTCCCATCGAAAGCCTACGGAAAACCAAAGGCGAACTGTAAAACAACTAAGGAACACTGAGCCCCTCCCAGACGAAGAGGGTTCCTTCTTCAGCGCCCCGACTGTATGGGTCACCCCCCAACTGGCGGGCCCCAGGAATATACACCACCACGTCGATTCCTCATCCCTCCTCTACCCTCTTATTCCCCTCCTCGTTCTTGGGAGAGGGAGGGGGGTGAGGGAGACGGTGGTGGTGTATATGTTCGGGCCCCGTAACGCCCCACTCTGGGGGCCCTCGCTGGGCCTCGGGGCCGTCAAGAAACTGCGCGGGATGGAATACCGGCCCGGGGAAGACGGGACTTCGGGGTTGGCCGCGTACCGAAAAGTGGAGGCATCGCACATGTCCGGGCTGCGACGCGACGCGGCAGAGGATCGCTCAGAAGCAGACGCCCCGGGAGGGCCCAGAGCACGTCGAAGGCTCTGGAACGGTCTGGGCGCCGTCCGAGTTTTCGGGTGGGCACTTAGTTTCGGCGGTGGGCAAATCTCCCTTTAGTAAACCACCCTTTAGGGAGAACGGCCTGGGACCGAAACCGACGGACCTGGGCCCGCAAAAATGACGGCCGCGACGCCCTCTCGCGAACCGAACACGGCCAATTCGCTAATCCACGTGTCAGGGTAGGAGGTCGATCAACCTCCGAGAGGAGGAGGAGAAGGAGGAGGAGGAGGAGGAGGAGGAGGAGGGGGAGGGGTAGGAGGATGGAGGAGGAGGAGGAGGGAGGAGGAGGAGGAGAGGAGGAGGAACACGAGAGCAAGAGAGCACGAGAGGAGGAGGAGCACGAGAGGAGGAGCACGAGGGCAAGAGAGCGGAGGGGCTTGGCGCGAGGGGCTTGGCGCGAGGCGTGTTCCGTTCGGTGCCAGTGCGGACTCACGGCAGGCAGCGGGTGCCGCCGCTTGAGGCAGGGGCAAGAGGAGGGGGAAGGGAGGGAGGAGGGAGGGAGGGAGGAGGGGGAAGGGAGGAGGGAGGAGGAGGGAGGGAGGAGGGAGGAGGGAGGGAGGAGGGGTAAGGGAGGTTACAGCCCAGAGCAGATTCGAGTGGCCGTGGAGAGGCAGATGAGGCAGCACTGCAGGCGGAGTCTAGGTTCTGCATGCGCGCGGCCCCCACGAGACAAGCCCGCATGCTTCTTCGTCAGATGCGCCTTTGACCTGAACGCAAACGCTTTGCGGAGAGTCCTGGGCATTTTCCCAAGCAGTCGCCGACCAAGACTGGCGGTGAGGGTGCGAAGGAATATGTTCTGGTCACTTCGCGTGTACATGTGGCCTCCCGCCTGCCGCTGGCGCTTCCGCCTGCGGCTGTAAAAAAAAGTGTACATGTGGCCTCGGTAGGCCAGCAGGATGAGTGTGTCCAGGGTTTTTCGAAACCCACGCTGTACGCTGCATCGGGGATCTTCTGACCCAGGTCAATCCAGGCCTAGGTCAGTCAGGCGTTGCAGGATCCTGCAAAATTCTGCAGGATCCTGCAGGATGCTGCACCCAAACCCAGGTCAGTGCACCAATGGCTCTGCAGGATCCTGCAAGCTCTGGCGCTCTGACTGAACCCCGTTTGCATCGACCCCCGTCACTTGATCCCGACACTGCATCTGTCCGCTCCGCCTCTGGTCTGATGCTCGTTCGATGCTGCACCGTAGGCGATCTGATGCGAAGAGCCTTCGGTGGCAACTCATGGGAGCCTCCCGCACCACCTTGTCGTCTCTTTGGACTCGACGCTAGTCGACGCTAAGTCGACGCGAAATCGACGTTAGTCGACGCTGACCGACGCCAAATCAGCGCTATCTCATCGACTCCCAGACGCCAACCGACGCGAGTCGAGGCCAGGGACGGAATGGAGAGGGTGGACCAGGCTCCCATGAATTGCTAGCGAAAGAGCCCCCTCGGGGGGGGGGGGGGGGAGAAAGGCGCAGCCTCTCTCTCTCTCTCTCTCTCTCTTCGCCCGAAGCGCCGTCCGAGACAAATGGATGGGGCAGATGGGGGCGGCGCGGGGCGAGGCGGGAGGGGAGGCGAGGCGAGGGGCGGCACGGCGAGGCCGGGCGCGCCCGCGCCCACGCTCGACAGCCTACCCGGAAAGGACGCTGCCTGCTCGAGACAGACGTCGCCTTCCCAACAGCGGCCGCGGTCGGCCTTGAGCAGGATGCTCCGTTCGGCGGTGGACAAAGATCCCTTTAGTGAGCCTCCCCTTAGTGAAGACGGCCTGGGACCGAAACCGACGGACCTGGAGCCGCAAAACTGACGGCCGCGACGCCCTCTCGCGAGCCGGAAACGGCCAATTCCTGAATCGACGTGTCAGGGTAGGAGGTCTGTCCACCCCCGATCTGCTGGGCAGCGTCGCAGTGTGTCCGCCCCCGCCACCGCCCTTTTCCCATGGCGTTGGCGACGTTGGTCTGCACCAACCGGTCGCGGCGAGCCACGGAGTGGTCTCGTCGCGCGATGTGCTGGCAGGAGGGGGCCTTGAACTTTGGAGGGGTGGCGGAGGAGCAAAGAGATGGGCAGGGGAAGGAGGAGGAGGAGAACGAGGAGGAGGAGAAGGAGGAGGAGGAGGAGGAAGAGGAGGAGGAGGAGAAGGAGAAGGAGAAGGGGGAGCAGCAGCAGCAGCAGCAGCAGCAGCAGCAGCACCAGCATCAGGAGCAGTAGGAGCAGGATTTTTTTCACCTGGACCTTGTCCTAGCCTGGTCTCAGGCTAGGACGCAAGCGGTGACCCCATGCGGTGGCTGACTTCGGCAGCAACCCACGGGCCCCGACAACAACGAGCTATTTCGAGCCTCCTCTGGGCTCGTAGCTCGCACGAGCAGCTTTCGCGCGAGGACCCTTCACACCATCCTCACAGCTCAGCTCGCGGCCCCTCGCACCACTCTCGTTGGAGGGAGCCGAGGGAAAAGAATTCACAGCCTGCTGCACTGACTCGGCTCGACTTGCGGCATGTCGAGCGGACTTGCTGGGCCGAGCATCGGCACCAGAAACAGAAGCGGGACGGATCCTCGACCCCTGCTCTGCAGGGGTCGAGTGGAACAACTGGGGAGTGGCAGCAGCACCCACGACCTGCACGACAGACGACTGGTCGACGACATCCTCGCGCTGCTGCCCATCTCCCGTGGAAGGCATTACGGTGTCAGCCTGCACAAGGGCGGTGCGGGCGGACTTGCACGGGCGCTCTTCAGGTCCACAGGAGCGCCTGCTCGGGCCACTTGCTGAAATTGCTGCAGCAGCGGTATCGACAGACGAAGACTCAACGACAGAGTTAAGCTGCTGCAGCTCCTGGCTCGCAGGATGCACGGACGACGTCTCGACGACAATTTCTTCCTGCGAGCCGGGGTGTGCATCCACGACCTCTGGTGAGATTTCCACGGTCACACCTTGAAGTCGTGGGCGCCGACCCCTACATATTCTGTATTTCCATCTCTCAGCATTGTTTCTGGTTGGGCGGCCGCACTGCTTACCAAGGAGAGCCAGCGGACCCAGGGTAGAGACAGCCTTGCAACTAACACAAACGAACAGCGGCGAGTCATCGCTGCACTGGAACGATAAAAGCCTGTGTCCGAGGGCCGAGACCTGCCACAAGGTGTCGGGGATCACGCCGGTACAACCCTCACATGCAGGCTTGGCTGAGCTACCGAAAATGAACGGCGTGGGATGCTTCGTGCACAAGCAAACGCTACAACGCCAATAGGAGCGGCACCACTCCCATACATGCTCAAATTCAGTGCCAGGTTTCACGTTGATTTTCTTCGGGGACCTGGCCAGCTCAACCCCACTGAGGTCGAGACGAGGCCACTGCGGCAAAATCCGAGCGGCCAGGCGGCAAACAGCCTTCGCAACGCTGATTTTATGCGTAAGGTCGGTCTGCTGCGCGTCCGTGGGCCTAGGATGCGAGGCAAGACCAGCCTTGGCAGCCTCGTCAGCTGCATCATTACCAATTTTTAAAAATCTGCCCCTGTCGGACAGGTCGTCCGAGTCCACAACATGGGCCTTGACTTTGTGGAGGGTTCCCGACCACCACGAAGAAAAGCTAGAAAACATGAGCCCCGCGTATGGCCTCTTGTGGGACAGTTTAATGGCGGGGGGCCCACCGCGGGCACGAACAACATTGAGGCAATCGGAGTACCCAGTAGAGGGGCCTACAAGGCACTGGGAGGAGGCTTCGAGGGCTCCGTACTCCCCAGCCTGGCTGGTCTGGGGGAGGGGGGCCCAAAGAGGCCCAAACGCACTAAACAATTTAGACCCGTCGTCTGCATGGGCTGTAAAACCCCAGCTTGCTCTGGATAACTCTTTAATGATATGTCTCTGACAGCTGCCGTCCATGAATATATGTCCCGAAACCGCCGTGTCGACCCTATCTGGCCCTCCCCCCCAC